TGAGAAATATTTATCGCGTTATCGTTGCTGTAAGTGGTGGGTTACACTCAAGCCTTTTTTTGATGCCTACAATGGACCATATGAAGACAAACATAGGATATGGACTGCATTACTTCTACTGATAAGAATCATATATGCAGTTGTAGTTGTTTATTTCGATGAAGCACAAATTGCTGTTCTTATTACAATTATAGCGATACTACTCGGTGTTGTTGCCATAACGAAAGGTCCATATCAGAAGAAGTGCAATAATTATCTTGAATACTTTCATTACGTTAATCTTATTTCTTTAGCGGGATTTAATGATCCAAAAATGAAATCAGAAGTTTCTTATATCTACAGCTACATCTCTGTCTCTCTCGTAGTTTTGGTTTTTCTTTGCATTGTGATCTATCGCTTTACACAGATGAAAATATTGAAAAAAATTAAGTCTCAAATTATGAGGATGCCACAAACTGCAAGAAAGATTTCACAGCGTCGAAAATATTTGAGGTCACTGAAGGTTCCTTTTGTAGATGACAGACACATTGTTACGCATGACATGGAGAATATGGTGATAGTAGAACTATATGATGAAGATGGCGATTTTGTGGCTAGAAGAAGAGAGACACTCATACGTGAAGATTTGATTGACTGATTTGTAATCCACATTTTGCTCACATGCATACCTACAATAATAAGTATAAATAATGGTTGTTTTTAATGGTTTTTGTTACAGTTAATGGTTGTTTTCATTTTTCAATGTTTTACATGATTTTATTACATGCATGTGTGGGAGATTGGGAGTGGCAATCAAAATGGCTGCTATTCTAAGAAAAAAAGATCTACTTTTTACACCAGTACTACTACATTCTAGCATTATTAGTCGTTCCTATGGAGCTAGTGCAGGGAAGGATGGGAGGGTTAGGATCGGCTGTTCTTCTGGTTTTTGGGGTGACACGTCTGAGTCTGCGCATCGTATGGTGGTCTGGACTTTCTAGTTGCTGACTATCTCAGAGATAACAATGTCCCTACTGGCTGGAGTTAAAAGAAACAAACCAGTAATGATGCATTTCCTGCACATGGTGCATAATACAGCTCCATTTTATTTCATTTCCTAATGCAGAATTGCACAAGTCATGTTTGTATGTTGTGTAGCAAGTTTGATCAAATTTGGATTATTTACAAATTTTTAAATTTACTCAAAAAATTGAACAAAACACCCTGTACAGGGTCATTGGCAAAATTTTTCTAATTAATATACAGTTTTTATGTTGTTTATTGCCCTTTGTAGTCCCGTTGGATGGTAAGGAATGTCTTGAGGACATAGCTTACTTAAGTGGAGATAAGGGGAATACCTCAAACATTAGTTAGTGTTTATGATAAATTGTGACATTGAATTATGTGAATATTATTATTAATAATGTTCACATGACTCAAAGTCACATGACTACCATATATGTAACTGTGTTACATGTACTGCATGTACATCCCTTTTCCTTCACAGGTGTGGTAGCAAGGGATCCTCAGTATTATTCTTACTTGAAAGATCTTTTGATGGAGAAAGTTGTAGCTGAATGGTTTAAAGAATGTTTAGAACCTTTGGAAGACAAAACTATTTATTACTTTGTGACAAGGTAAATGCTTCTCCCTCCCTCTTGCTCTCCTTTTCACCTAAAATGTAATAATTTTCACATTAAAATGGGTGGCAAGTTTCACCAGAATTTTTAGCTTAGTTGATAACAATTTCTCAAAATAAATAGGTAGTTACTAGTTACACAACTTAGTGTTTAATTACACGAGCTTTTCTCTCTTGAAAATTGATCCACGAGTCCTTATATTTCCTTTTTTCTTTCAGTGTCAAATATGTGTTCAATTTTTCACCTATCTCTTTTCTCTACAGATATGAGCTGCCAGGTGTTTGTGGTCTCAATTTTGTTCTTCGTAGGTCCCTAGGTGGAGGAGGTATCTCTTCTCTACACAGTGACCCTCAGGTAAGACATATAACAGTTTCCATAGCAACCATTGATTAATTGATTAGGTTGAAGGCTATGGTCAAAGACTAGCAGTGTTACCTTTAAAAACAAATTAATGTATCATTTAACCTGTTTTTATCTGTTATGACTTAATTGAATTATCATCATGAGCTTCATAATTGTGTTATTTGTTTCATGTATGAACATGAAATGATGACAGTCAGTAGTAGACTATACCTCTAAATAATTATAGTATCCACCTAAATAATTGTAGATGTGGGAGTAGTAATTTCATGAGTAATTAGTCATTATACTGTTACCTAAAGTTACTTAATCACTACATTTTTTATAGATTCAACAGATAAGTGTACTATTGCCTCTGCATTGTGTGGTATTCAAAGCTATGATGCTCTTCACCATTGCTACTGGTCTCCTTTTTATTGCAGCCTTTTCAGGTCTTGGACACTGTGAGGAGTATTACGTCTCATCCACTACTCTAGAGTGTACTGGCAACCTGCAACCATGCCACAGTTTGCTCT